GAAAACATTAAATACATTCTAACTATGAACACTCCTTGCATGCATCCAGACAAGCATGGTCATGCAGTATGTGGCACCACAGACACATCTGTGATGCCACGTACTGCACGTTCAGTTGCTCTCTACGCTGCAAGGGAGCAGTGTGGGGGAGGTTTTTTTAATGTCTGGATATCCAGGAGTCAAAAAAAAACCTGTGGGGGGGGGGGGGGGGGGGGGGGGGGGGGAAGCCCCTCGCCTTACATCTGAATACAAAGCAACCTCTTTAAACATATTGTCTGTCATTAAACTGCCATAAGCAGCATGTGCTCAGGAATGGCTACTGGGATCAACCAGCCTTCCCTACCCAACCCGGGGTAACTTGCCATGTGCCAGAGCGTGTGTGGCATAGATGCTCCCCGGGGACAAGGAGTAGCAGCACAAGGTGTCCCACTGCTTGTTGGCCCCAGGGAAACAAACATCCATGCACGTGTGGACATGGCCCTGGAGTCTTGTCATCAGGGAAAGATGTCCAAATGATGATATAAATACTGTAAATGGTTCTACCATTCACCAACACTTATTTCCTTCTTTTTGCACTGTTTGTCTTCCAAGTCGTCCACAAACTTCTCTTGTAATATATAAAAGTTGTAATTCCCTATGGAACTACAGAGATTGCAGTAAGCAGGTTTTTTTAAAAGATTCTGTTTTATCAGAAAGCTAATATGTTTCATCAGCAGCTGTTTTATTATTCGTATTCAGGCAAATGATTAGATGGCTTGACAGATAGTTCGCTCCCTATTTTGAAATTTAAATCAAAATCAGCTTTTTTTGTCCTAGAAGCTGAACAAGTGGTGTATCAATTTGTACACAGAGTCTTTGTTCTGTCAGATGGCTGGTCCTTTTCCAGCATAGATGGAGCTTTTGTTTCTGACAGAGGAAGCACAGCTATACCAGGCAGTGCTTTGTCAGTTTGTAGTGAAGTAATGGACATTGCAAAAAAAAAAAAAAGAGCCACCTATAGGGAGACTGAAGAGAAAAAAAAAAGGTTCAGATGATAAAATTTTGCTTCCAAAGGCAGACAAAAGATTTGCCCCAAATGGAGAGAGAAAGTTGTGAAGCTAAATGGAACATCTGACATGCCCATAGCTCTTACTTTCACTGTGTTCAGCACTCTAGAGTCAGAAAGTCCAGCCTTTCTTCTTTTTCATGTTTCATTATTATGACCAATAACATTTGAACCTGGCTTCCAATACATGTTCAAGGGTATTTAAATGATACAAGGGTATTGAAATTATAAAGGCAAAAAGGCATGGTAACTTGAGTAGACAGTAGACTGCCTCTCTCTGTGTCAACAGCAGTAGGCTAGAGTTGAAGGGGCACAGTTTAGTAGACTTGGCATAGGACTGGAAACCAGTTTACCCAAGTTTTCAACCTGGCTAACACATTGATTCCTTCTCTGATCTCTAGAAATTACAGAACATAGAGCTAAATTCTTATTAGGCCCGGTAATCCAACTCACTACCAATGCAGGATTATCGTTTAATCTACATTTACTAGCATTTTATCCACTCCAGTTTTAAAAATATGCCAAGACCTAGAGTTTCAAGTTCTTCACTTGGGAAATTACTGTACCATGCTGATTGGCAGATTTTCCATGAGGGTGGCTTAAAGGGTTAAATCCTTAAAAGGCTTCCCAAATTGTTGCAGGAAATCTTGCATTTGCAGTCACCTATTTTTGCCTATAATATTTAAGAAGGCATTTGAAAGTTCAGTTTATAAAGTGTAGATGCCATATAGATACCCATGCTAGCTCCATGTGTGCTAGTGTAACAGCTTGCACCTTCCTTAGATTCCAGGTGCGCTACTGCCTGCAATCCAGGACTCCATTTTAGCCAGCCCTTCTCCTCAGCTGTCTTTGCTAATCTCCCCTGGCACATTTTGATGTTACTCCATGTGCAGGCAGCTGAAGAGAAGGAGTATTTAGTTGACAGGTTTGTGGCTTTGCTGGTCTCTCTGCTACTCTTAGCTTTGTTTTCTTTTAATTCCAGTAAGTCCCCTGGGTTATTCTTCCCATGCTAGTATTTTCCTTTTGAAGCTTATGTCTCTTTCAGAACAGGCTCAGGACACCTTTGGACTCCTTTGTGGCCTGTCAGACCTCCCTCTATTTTCCCCAGGTTTAGTCCAGTCAGTTATTTTGGGTCTCTCCTCTTCCTGCTCCAACCATCACTCCTGCCTTCTTCACAGCCAGAGCTCTTCTGCCTACTTGCTGCTGAGGCCCTTTCTATATACAGCTGTTACAGAAGTGACCTCCTGTGGAGCAAAGCAAAGGCTGTGTCTGCCACTTTAAGGGCTTGAGCATGCTGCAGATCAGCCTGCAGGTGAGAACAGACCCAATCAGGAGGGTCACATGGCACCCAGGAGGCTGCCTGATTGGTGTAGGGCTCAGCAGTCAGGGTATAAGACAGGTCCTGAGAGCAGAGTTGGTGAGTTGCAACTGAGGAACCAAAGGGTGAATGTTTCCTGGCTGGAGCACTTCTGCTCTCAGAACATCTGGAGGTCAGGGTAGGAACTGGGGGGATGGAGAAGGTTCCTGGGGACTCAGTGTCAGGTCCAGAGCCTTGAGAAGGGGGCTGAGTGCCTGTGGCCAGGTGAGAGGAGAGATCAGGACAAGCCCAGAGAAGAGCTGTATGCACAGGGTCTTTGTGGGAGCTCAGGAAGGTTTGAAGACTGGTCCTGGGGCATGACCTGTAACTACACCTGGCTGGGGTTGGATGGTATGGTGGGGCTACCTATAGCAGGGCATTCTCCAGGAAATGCCACACGAGTGCCTCCCCAGAAAAAAGCAAGTATGAGGTACTGGAAAGCCTCAGCCCCATCTGCCTTGCAGGTGACCCTGTGGAGGGAAAAGGCTGGACAGAAAAGCACACCACAGTGCAAGGGCAGCGTGTGGAGGGGCCTGAGAAGACAGACCAGTATGGGAGAGAGGGCTAGCTGCTCATGAACCTAGCCAGAAAACCCTCAACTGGTCAATGCTGGGGCCAGGACCAGGACCAGGACACCTGAAGGGCAAAAGCACCCACGAAAAGGGATGGCCAGAGCCAATTGCCTTGAGTCCCAACTGGCTTAGAGGCAAGGCCAGGGCCTGTGAGGCCAGAGGTCCCAGAGGGGGCCACTGCCAACAGGGAAAGGGGTCTAAAGAGTTTGCAGCCCCAAATGATGGCAGAGGGTAGGCCACCTGAGTTGGAGGGATCCAGGTCAGGGTCCGAATGTCAGCTGGGAATATACTGCGGCCCAGTGTGGGGCTGAAGCCATATAGTGATGCCATCTGTGAGGCATGGGACATAGTGTAGGAGCAGTACGGAGCTGTGTATTATGCCCTTGGCATCAGGGCACTAAATGGGCAGCCTCCCACCTAGGAACAACTATTTAACTTGGTTCCAGCAAAGCTGTGGCAGGTGAGCCAGGTGGGTGGACTGCCCTAGACAGGTAGATGGGCCAATGCTTGGACCAGCTTCAAGACAGCCCCCTGTCACACCTCCAGCCTGTCTGATTCCTCCTTCCAGGGCCCTGTCCCTTCTTCCCTGTAATGGGCATTGAAGGGGTCCCATTACAGCAAACTCTAGAACAGGGCCGGGCAATTATTTCAGGCGAAGGGCCACTTATTGAGTTTTGGCAAGCCATTGAGGCCCACATCACAGGCAGTCAGGGGGGGATAGAAATTAATTTTTCTAAAATTTTTAGGGGTCTCATGGGCTGGATATCATGGCCTGGTGGACCGCATTTTGCCCACCCCTGCTCTAGAACTAGGAGCAGCACTGCATCCAGACTACATATAGCACTGCTGAGAAACAGAGCTTGTTAGTCCAGGCTCAGGACCATGCAGATTCAGCTGCACTGTTTCCAGTTCGAGTCAGCATGTGCAGAGCCAGACCAGGTACCAGTCTCTCTATGTAGTGCTTCTTTGTGCCATGTTGACTCTGATACATGAGCTAGCAAGTTGACAGGTCTCTCAGGATCTCTCTGCACAGTTCTCCATTGTGCTGTATAAACATATCCCAGATACCGGAGTACAGCTACTTTTAAAAATGAGTAGAGATGTGAAGTGAGTGGTTTTTCAAACAGTGACACTAAGAAGCGGAGGGTTTCAGACTAATGATACAAAGGCAAGCTTCTTCATGAAAGCATTGCTATTAGTGCCCTGATATTACAATTGAGGTTGGAAGGCTGGGGAGAAAGGAGAAATTGATAGACATGAAGATTTAGTTCCTAGACAAGATGAGACAGATGGTGACTTGGATGGAGGTGTAGGGTCAGAAAGAAGAATGGAAGGTGAGGCAATTTTCAGAGAGACTGAGAGAATAAAGTTGCTGGGCTCTAAGTAGTGATCAAAATGTAGCTTTCAAAAGAGAACATAGCAATTTTCTCAACATCCTCAGTGAAGAAATGGAGAAAGAATAATAACAGTGTTTACCAGTTAAATGGAATTTTTCACCTTCAGCTTTCTTTACTAAAGGAAGTACCACTGGAATTTGGAGTATGGGTGATTCTAACAACAATGTAATTGCAATATGAGACATTCCATGCTTGCTGAACTGGTAGAATTTCAATCATTGGTTTCTTCCAGATGTATTTTGTCTTTTAAGTAAAACCTATCAGTATCTTAAAAATCAGAACTGCAACAAACTCTGATTTGTGTTAACAAAGAATGTGGTGAGATGGACTAGCTCCAGCTGTTCTAATCCTACCAGTTTTCATCCATGCTTCTACACACACATTGCAGGGATTTTTACCTCCCTTGGCTTTTGTTTTTTTTCACATACTAGTAAGTGTCCAAGTAATCAATTGTTCTTTCACTGAATGTCAGATGAGATGTACCCAAAAGTAAACAGCTAGGTTGAGTTCAGTTAGAAAAAAACCGAGATGTCTCCCCAAGGCTTTTTTAAGCTCAGGGTTTGAAGCTTCCTATATGGTACTATAGCTTTTAAAAATATCACCTAGAAAACTCTCAGAATGCACCAGAAAACTTTGCTATCACCATAATACCTTACAATTTCCCTTGTCCTCCAAGAAGTGTGTGCCTTTTTTAGGGACATGATCATTTGATAGATGTCACTTTACAAGACAGGGGAAGTTTTAAGGCTCCACAACTATTAATCCTTGTTTTCTCCCAATGATCCTTTATAAATATTTGGGATTGGCACTGTGCTTTCTCCCTATTGTTAAAGTGAAGTGTTTACTGTGAATGCAGTAAGTGACAATCTGTGTTATAGTTACGTGCAGTAAAATCATCAGACTGCCAGCTCTGTGTTAATGTCATCTTTCCTTTTCCCTTTTTTTTTTTCTCTTGCAGCAAACACGCACTTGCTATACAAGGTCTACTAAGCAGAACAAGCTTCAGTACCCATCTTCATCAAGGGACTCCCACTTCACTCCTTCGCCAGCCTTCATACCTCACAGTCCCAGGCCTGCTGCTAACCAAAATAATGAGCATCCCCAGAGAGCTGGTCAAAACAAGCCACATCATGTAAATGGTCTTGGGGCCTCCCAGCAGGACTTGAAAAATGTTGACCAAGGAGACTTCACCCAAATCTCCAATGGTGCCTCCAGCACCTCATGGTCATTTCAGCGAAGCAAGTCTCTCTTCTGCCTGCCCACAGTGAGCTCCTCTCCAGGCTCAGATTTTCTTCACTTCAGTGAACCATCCCAGATTTTACGTACCGGGTCACCTGTAAATAGATTAAAAACATGGAGGTGCAGCCCCAAACTTAATATAGATGACCTGGAAGGGGTGCTGGAGACTGATGTGGACACAGGGATGAAGCTGTCCTTTTCAGATCTGTCCGTGGTCTCTGCATACTCAGCCCTTAATGGATTTTGCAGTGATTTGGAAGCTTCTCTTCCCCCACAAAGGCGAAGGGTCAGTAAATCCAAACAGGTGCTCTCCAAAGGAAGGCCACTCTCATTCATGTGCAATACCCTGGAGTTTTCTGGTGGTTCACTTCCTTCTCTTTCTGAGTGGTCTTCCGGCTCCTTCATGTCACATCCAGAATCCCCCTTAGCATCTCACTCCCAGCTCAAACAGTCGCTGAGAACAACCCCTTGTTCTCTGAATGGCAATAAACCACCTGGAGGTATGCAGCCAGGTCCTCCAGCTAATGAAGAAGAATTCTACATCTGAGCCTTCTCTGTACTACACCCTTCATTGTAAATACATGCATGTGTGGATTATAGCGGTGCACTTCTACCTTCTGAGCAAGCTGGGCAGCTAAGAAACATCCTTGCTCATTGCTGAGGGGAAGGTATTGCACCGAAGTGTGCTAAATATCAGAAAGGGTGTCCACACAGCACGGTGATGGGTGCCTCAGAAACATGCATAATAATACAGGGTAAGATTGTGCCCACCAGATTCATACTGATAGGATGGTCTGCATTTAGTACTTCCCATGGTCAGGCTGATGAGGGGTTTTGTCACTGATCTTTAGCCTGTGGTAAAGGAAGTGCCAAGAGTGTAATCCATCTTTCCCCAGCAAGCAGCTGGAAAGACACTGAAAAGAAAATGCAGCTAAGAGCTGCAGTAACTTCTCTGAGAAGCACTTGCAGAGAGCCTGATTTCCTTCTTCCAAGAGGCTCCAGAATCAGGTAGGCAGACTGGTAGAGTAGCTCCAGTGGAGTCAGACAAAGTGGTTGAATGCCAAGCAGTTCAGGCCACCTCCTGCTCTCTGGGAATCTGCAGATTTGGAGAGAAGCCACTTATCCATGCCCTCAGGAAGAAGGAACCCACCACATGCCCACCCTAGAGGAGTCGGACTGAGAAGAATCTGGGGTAGCTCTACTCCGCATCTTCCCCAAAGTGCACCCCATTGTTTTTTTCTGATGTGAGGAGAATGGATTGTTAGGACTGCAATGCAGCTCCCTATTTTGGGGATCTGTTATTATTTTAGAGGTAAAAATCCATTTCATACAGAAGCTTAGCATGCCTGGTCCTAGCTCAAGAGCATTTGTGTCTGTGTAAAACACATTTCTAGCCAGACTTGTATTTTTAATTTATCCAAAGGGGAAAATACGTACAGTTTTACTGGTTTGGGCTTTCTGGGCTTTCAAGTTAAAGTACTGGCAAGCTATTCTGGTCTAATTATTTTTGGTATTTAAGGAAAAAATGTAACTGTATCAAGCGTTTCAAATTGCATCACATGTCCAGAAAATATCTTCCTGTGTTACAGTACTGGAACTGGCTACTGCCCTGACCTAGCCAGTAAGAGAACTTAGGTTAAGGTAGTGCATATATATGTATATCTACATTTAATTCATAGACAAGAACAGTTAAGTATAGCTGCAGAGTCATCCCTCTGATAAAGCAAGTATATCAGCATTAAAGGAGAAAAACTAAGCACCTGGTATTACTCAGAAGAATATCTGGTTTTCAAAGCAAACATCCTAAATAAATAGTTACACAAGAAGACTGGAATAATCTCCTAAACTACATTCTGGTCCCCACAGTAAATACATAGTTTATAACTTCCCACAAACCATACTTTAAAAAAAATCCATCCCCATATAGGCTGAGTGAATTAAATCCAAATTTAGTTATTATATATCAATTAAAGTCATTCTCCAAATCCATGAAAGACCTGGAATTCATGGGCAGGGCTGGAGGAGGGATCAGACAACTTAAGTCACTGTCCCTTGTTCATGCTGGTCAATCTTTTTTTTCTCCCCCCACATTGACAGGGAGTGGCACATCAGCCTTACCTACAAGTTTCCTTCCCGTTGTCAGAAACACTTGGAATACAAACTGTGTTTAATCCTTGTTTTTTATATTATCTATAATCTATTCTAGATGCAGACATGCAATGGAGAATATCAGCATTTTTTTCACAGAGTAATTCAGGTTCACTCCTAGACTTAGTGAACTGCCCTGTTCAGAGATGACTGGAAGTGGAAATA